ATCGTCCTTCTAAGTCTTTCGCTCTGAACAAAAGAGATCGATTCACTCAACCCTAGCCTCCCACCTACGAGGAGCGGAAGGAAAGCTCAAATCAGTTCGTCGGTGATGAAGCACAGACATCACCGACAATCCACTAAGAAATGATGAAGATCAGTCAGGCACAAATCTCGCGCAACGGTCAAAGAAGATTTCTAGGTATAAATAGATTGTTGTCTGTTAAATTAAAACGCGACTGTGATAGCGAGAGAGAGAGAGAGTTAGGAGAATTCTTAGTCTATCTTGAGTCCGTTTGTAGTTCTCTTCAGTAGCTTGATTCACAGTGGTTATTCTGGGTGAACTAATTGGGAAGAGTGTCTTTGTTTGGGTGTCTTCAAAAGTGTCAACTTAGTTGGCTTGTGACACGCTAAAACACAACACCTAACAATGGCCAAGTGTAACCAATGAAAGGGACTGCAGTATAGTGGCACAAGTAATAAATATCGAATCCACGGGTCTCTAGAGTTACTATTACTCAGCTTCAGTTCATTATCTAGCAAACTAGATTAAGGATTGATTTATAAACTACTCTACTGACTACTCTACTAATTACAAGTTGGGAACTCACTTAGGTATGATTCCCCTAGCTCCTCAATTAGGTCCAAGTTGCAATTACCTTTGGTTGATCTATTGTTGATTAAACTGCGGAAGATCCTAAATTAGCTTGGAATCTCTTAAGCTGACCAAGCCCTCTCAGACAATACCCGGCAGCGACTAGCCTTCAGGATAGACTGCTAAGGTGATTCACAGATCTCCACTACTGGAATGAATTCCAGTACGAAGCAGTGAATTGATTGACTCTCGCACAACCAATTCACCACTATCAATCAAGGAAGCTCTCTTAACCTAATCAGATTCTTCTATCATAGGTTAAAGCAGAAATCAAGAGAATTTGATCAAGATTCAATTGACTCAATAAATCATGCCTCAATCGATTATAATCAAACAATATAGCATCCAAAACTTCATACAAGAAAGATCCTAACACATGGAACTAGGGTTCCTCAAAACCTAAGTGAAGGGAAGTTACTCCATAGAGAAGAGAGAGACTGCAGAAATCTGATCTAGATCTTCAATCTCCATCTCCAAGCTTGATTCCCGAGCTCCAATGGCGAAGAAATCCTCCAAAAGCTCCAAGAATGTTCCCAAGTCGCTCTCTCTCTCTAGGGTTCGTCCCTTGGGTGTTTGGGAACCAAAACCCAGCTCTCCCTTTCCTTTGGCTCGAATCTGCCTCAAAAACCCGATTCTGGGCGAATTACGGGCTGAATTACGGTCGTAATTCTTCCATGCCCGTATTTTGCCCAAAACACGCGTTTTGGTTAGTTTCAGCGCACCCAAAGCTCCTCTCGGCAGTGAAATTACGGGCATGGGAGGCCAAATTACGGTCGTAATTCTCCTGCCCGTAATTCTTCCTCCGCTCCTGTTCAAAGCTTCGTTTCTCCCTCGTCCGGACTCCAAATCAGTCGCCGTTTGAACCAGACGCTCGTAGTCTCGTCCTCTTTCTTTTCAACAAGCTTCCATGATTTTTGTCCATAAAGTGAGGTAGAAATCCTTCTTCTTCAGGTCAACCGAGTTTCTTCTCCCGAATCGCCAATTGATCTCTGATTGACTTGAAACTTGCGCCTATGCTTCACTTTATGTGCTAGGACCTGAAATGTGACAAAGGAACACAACCTAGCGTAAAATAGGCCAAAGACACGATAATCAAGCAAACAATCAAGAAACAAAGGGGAAAACATGTGCAAATACCGAGTCATCAAATCCCCCCACACTTAACTGTTTGCTTGTCCCCAAGCAAACCTAACTCAAACCAATGCAGCTCTCCAGAGCTCTATAAACAACAACCCGATCGTCGGTAGAGGATTTCCTAGATCATATAGCAGCTTACGAGGTCAACTGGTCTTCTAAGACGTCCCTATCTCTCTCAATGCGAGTACTAGACTCAAGCCAGGATCATGAGAAAAGTAGAAGTAAGACAGTCAGTTCATGGATAAAGGACTCACACCATTCACAACCAAGGACTCGTTGTACCGGGGTGCTCTTTCACTTCATTTCACCGTTGGAACCCCTTTTTCTCACTTTCATTACATTTTTTTTTTTTTCTTTCATTTGGTGGGGTTCCAACTGCAGTCTTTTGCACGGTCGACCCTTATTAGTCGAGCAAGAGCAATTTCTGTACATCTGGCGCTCGCCAGAGTACTTCTTTTAACTCCTTTTCCTCAACTCGTGTGGAGGGTCAATGAAATTAAGGGGGGTCGGAAGCTCTATCCGTGCCCTTAAAAACACATCCTCAAGTAGGCAAACCGTTCAACGGGTGGAAGTTTTACTTGTACTAGAGACACTTAGCTTCACCTTGTAGGAGTACCCCACTAAGGATCACTAAAATCTCTTCCAAAACCCGATTTGTGCAATGAACGGTGCCACACACGTTGGGCTTACCCCATGTTTAAGATTTTTGATGATTTCGACATGGAGGACCAACTGCTTTTCATTTCCACATGAGCACCCTGTTCAATACACGAGTCCATAACACAATTCAAACAGAGTCCACATTACCACATGAATTCAACGGTCTTAACTCCACTAATTCACAAAATCAACTGACACAGCAGAGAGCTAGATAGGAAAAATCTTATACTTCAACATCCTCCATAGTGCTACACTACCTTCCTAGGTTGCACATTACAATAGAGACTGTCAATTCAAAGCATACTGAGCAGGCAATTTGCAGGAAACACGTACTTGGAGCCCTCAAATTTAAAAATTTGGACAGTGAACTAGGCTCCAAGCACACAAACAGCCAAACATTCACCCGCATACATAATCGAACACCCCCCCACACTTAAGCACGACATTGTCCTCAATGGAGGAAAGATAAGGAGGGTAGAACGAAGTTACCAGATCAAGGGTGAATGATGATGGATGGGTCAGGCGGTGCATTCCAGGAAGAGAGAGTAATCAGAACACAAACACCACACAAAATCTCACAAAGGTTGAGTTATTGACTCTAAAATCAAATAACAAAACTGACTCAACCGAGGAGAAATAGAGAAAGAAATGCAAACCGACTGGTTGGGTTGCCTCCCAACAAGCGCTTCTTTCACGTCGTGAGCCGGACGATGGCTCCTAAGTTTCGGTCCATGCTAGAACCTCCTTGAAGTTGAGGTTCTCGTCGATGAGGTGGAGTCTCAAGTCACGAGCATGTGGTGTGGCAGGTGATGAAGGCTCGTGCACTTGATGCAGATGAAGTCTCCACCCTCGAGACTCTTCTTTCTTCTCTCGTCTCATTGCCCCAAACCAGATATGACATCGATTGGCCACCATCGCGTCCACCAAGAGGGACCGATGTCGATGTGGCCTTGGTCTGGCAAAGAGACACTGCAAATGGGTCCTTGCAAGCAGCTCCTCGAAGTTTGGTGGAGATATCACATGTAACTCATGGCCGGTGCAGCCTCTTCCACCTCAACTCGTCCTCGGCCTGGACGCCAAGTGCTTCTTCAACCTCCCTTTCTTCTTCATGTGGTATCACCCCTGGGAAATGATCAAGAACTCCTTCTGCTTCATTTCGTCATCCTCCACAACTTCTTTCTGCACCCTTTCTGCTCTTCTTCTTCTAGCACGGATTGGAGCAAGTTGCCAAGCAATTTCTTTCATGAGATCTTCTTGCATCTCCTCACTCATGCCCGCCTCTTCAAAGCTCTGTTGGGATGTGGGAAGGTGTGGTCGGCTACGACAGGACATTCCTGATCATGATCATCACGGGAGCTCTCCGTGACAACTTCAGTGTGCTCCACAATGTCCTTGTAGCCTTCTCTTCCTCCTCCTCTTCTAGTATGGCAGCAGAAGGGTGATCTGGAGCAGGTGTACAAGATCGCTCAAGATCATCGACGCTCTTCTTAAGGCTCAGGAGGATCTCCTCTGTTTCACGATAGGCCTGGACACAATGATCCATCCTGGAGCATGATCTCTCACAGTCTCGAGCAAACTGCTCCATGAGAAGCCTCAATTCATAGTTTGGATCTGGCTGTGGAGTGTAGCATGGCTCTGCAGAATGGCCTGTCGCAACCGCCCCTCCGGATTGCGGGATTCGTTGCGAACTGATCGGAGTCGCCATCGACCTTACTTGGGGTGGATCGAACACCCATTTCCGGTTTTGTTATTTAGGTTAAAACCAGAAATCTGGTCCGCGAGTTTTAGATTTTTCTAGGTTCGGGAGTACGGTTACGTGTGGGAAAGTGTATTCACACCCCACAACGCCCCAAATGGGTACTACTTAAATCGATAAGTTTTTAAAGGTTGGGTGTTTATAATTTTTGCCTTATTTACGTATTTAATTATGTGATGATTTGATAATTTAGATATTTATCTTTACAATTCGATCATACGTTTATTAACGTAAATCTCGAACGTAAAGAAAGATTATTTTTGTTAGTTGGACTCGAACCTATTGGTTGCCTACGTACCCGAGTATCCGGGATCAAAGTCCACGTAGTTCGATAAAGTTGATAAGTTTTGAAAAGGGAATCTTAACACGTTCTATTGATCGTGGCTAAGATGATAATTAGAGTTGTTAGACAATGTATTTATGATGTTTCAATTTAGTGATTGAGTGTTATATAATCTTTAAAACAATTTTATTGAGAGCGACTATCATGATATATTGATCGAGGTTTCGTATTAAGGGATTTTCTAGGTAAAACTAGTATATGTATGAATAAAGAAGGCAAAGCGAAAGTGGTAGCCATAATTTGGTGAAAAGCAACGATCTTAGCACGATAAGTCGATTCAAATATTGCGTATTAAGCTTAAGCAGGAATAAGGAAAAATGAGGAGATTAAAGTTGCAAGTAAAATTATGTAGCGTAGTGGCTGATTAAACTAACTCGTGGTATTTTTGATCTGACGGACGCGGGTTCAAATCTCAATAGGGCCGGTTTTATTTTTAAATTTTTAAGATGGCGAGGGCAAATCCGTCTTTACGAGAGACGAGTGTAATTGTGTTTGAACTTAAAGGAACCCTAGCATTCTCCTATTTGCGACCCAAGCGGCCGCCACTCTCAAACCTTGCCTCTGCCTCCTTTCTTTCATTTTCTTCTTCTTCCATTCGACCTAAAGCTAAATCCAAAAACCCATTCTACCTCTAATCCGACCCTAGACAGCCGCTACTCTCCTCTGATGGAAACGACGAAGTGAAATGGAGACAAAGACAGAAGCGCGTGGAAGATCAGCGATGGACGCCGACCAAGGTACCGACAGCGGCGATTAAGGTGAGTTTGCCCTTTTACAGTTTGTGCACGTCGTATTTTAGGGTTCGATTCTTGGGTTTTAATCTGGGTAAAGAGAGTGGTGGCGGTTTTGTGTGATTTAGTTGAAGATCTAGGGATTCTGACTTGTTTCTGTTTGTTTTGGGGTTTTGTTCTCGATCGAAGGAAGGGAACGAAGTCGTCGTCGGTGCAAAACTAACGGCGATGGACGCGGCGGCGGTTCTGGGTATCACAGGCGTGAGGGTGTGAGGGGTTTTTTTTGCTTTTGCATGTGGGATTTAGGGGTTTTCATCTTGATTTCAGTTCTGATTTTCTGGGTTCTATCTTAGGTTCAATCAAGGGGAGGAGGAACAAGAATCGTCGGGGGCTCGGCGCTTTACCGGTGATAAAGACAGCAGCGACTTAGAACCTCGCCTCTGGTAAGCTCTAGCGTTTCTTAGTTTCGTCATTTTTTGTTTTTTTTTCTTGGTTGGTTCTTACTCGTTATTTTTATCTTTTTGGTTTCGAACGAAGAGGAGAAAATGGGATATAGTCACCGGGGACAGATTCGATTTTCGGTGGGGGATTTCGGGTAGGTTATTTCTATGGATTTATTTATTTCTGGTTTATCCTGTTTGCTTAATGGGTTCTGGTTTAGTTTCTCTGTTCTATAGGTTTCAAACTAGTTTTCAAACCTGTGTTTCTGGGAAGTCCATTGCTTTTGTGTTTAGAGTGTACTCTAGCATGATTTCAAGGTTTATTGGTGGTGTTTTTTGGTAAATCTATTGTTTGAGCAGTTTGGTCAAAATCTGGTTGTTTCATATATTGTGGGTGAACTCGAGTTTGGACTATTAACTGTTACTATGGGCCATTTTTGGATTCGAGGTTCATGGTGTTTTATAAGTTTGGGATTTCTATCAGAGTAGTTTTAGGACAGGTTGATAAAATCTGTATCATTGTGTATTATGGGTTGGTTCATGGGGGCTTTAGATTCTAGACGTAACTTGGTATTTATGATGCTTTCAATACTAAAAGTTGAGTAGTGATTGGGATTATGGCCTGTTGCTTTCTGTTACGTGATTTATTAGTGGTGGTTTTAGCTTTGTTTTATATATGTGTGTAATGATGGAATTTCATACTAACATGATAAAAGTATAAATGAGATGATCGATGAAACATATATCTATATTGGTATTAGTAGATTATCAGTAGCTGTATAATTATACATAGCTATCTTGAACGAAGATATTTGTGAGCTTTATAGTTTATATAGAAATAGAAAGAGGAGACAAATCAATACAAGGATGGTGATAATGGTAAGTGCTTAAAATGTAAAAGGGACTTGAGTAGAAAGATGAATGTATACAAGTAGATGACAGTAGTGATTAATTGCTTGAATGAGAAAGTATCTGATAAAGTACAACGATAATAATAAGTAGATGAGAGTAGTCAGATTGGAATTGCTTGGAATAGATTAGGTATATTCCTCTTTCAAATAAAATCAACCTGCTTGTAGTTTGAATGGGATTGATTGAGTTTCTATTTTGAAAAGAACTTAAAATGAGATGGTTGAAGAAGATGAATGATTAAGATGATGATGGTTGGTTTTGGCTACCAACCTTTGTTTGTAGTTTGATTATGATTCTGACCTCCCTTTTTCCGTCTCCTTCTTGGGTTTTTTTTTGCTTTGCTGAAGTTGGCGGCAGTGGTAGGATGCTTGTGGTGAGGGAATTTTTGTAACTTCTTTTGGCTTCTGTTTGTGCAGGTTTTGAGTAAGAGGTGGAAGAAGAAGAAATAAAATTAGAAAGGGGAAAGAAGGTGACAGTATGAAGAAGAGAGTGAGGGAATGTTTGTCTTTGTTTTTCTATTTTCTTTTCGGCTTCTCTTTTCTGTTTGGTATTTTGAGGAAGAGGAGGAAGGAAGTGACAGAGAAGAAAAGGTTCAGGGAATGTTTTTTTCCTTTCCCCCCTTTTGCCAGAGCTAAAGAGCTCTTTTTATAGAAAAAAATCAGATGTGTTGGCACAATGTAATTGGATTTGAGAGGTGATAGGGGCCGCCCTCTATGTTTGTGTAGCTTATGGATTGGGTTGAATCGAACCGGTTTGGTTTGGATGGTATAGGCTGAGTTGGGTTAAAAATTGGGCAGGCATGTTGACCCGGATTTGGGCCAGTGTAGAGTGGGCTTGATGCCAATTTATTTTATTGTACAATTGTAATTGGTTTAACCTAATAGAAAATTAGTGGTGTAATTAATTGTAATAACGTTTTCAATTATTTGGCATTGTAGCTGTCTTAATAAGATTGTTATGACTCCTATTTTTTATTTCGAAATCGTGATTCAATTCTTACAAGACCCAACGTCTTAAGAATCAATTAATTCACATGTCAAGTCATCACTAATGAATTGTATCAATTGAGATTAGCTATTGCTAATCTCATTGAATTATGGCAAGCAAGACCCAACCCAAGCACTACAATTATGTTTAAGCTAGAAGATCGTTCAAGATTTGTTATTACAAATCTGACACTAAATTTTAATTGATTAAATATGTTTTAACCCGGACAAAAAGTGGTGTCTACAGTTGCCCCCCTTTGTATATCTCTTGGTATTTGAGAGGTATACAAAGTTATTCATAACACACCATTTTTTGTCGGTTTACTAACTATATTGTGATATTTTAGTTTGGTGCATTAACCAACTTCTTTGAAGTTTTGAAGTCATTGATTAGCTCCCATGTGGTATAGTCATGCAATGGGTCCTATTAGTTCCTCGACAATGTAGCCTAGATGTGGGTGCTGATTGGTTTCCTCGCAGTGTAGCCTTCTAGTGAGTTCTAATTAGCTCCCTGGTATTGTAGCCTAGATGTAGGTACTAATTAATTTCTCGCAATGTAGCTTTCTAGTGGGTCTGATTAGCTCCCTCGCAATGTAGCCAACTTGTGGGTGCTGATTGGTTTCCCTCGCAGTGTATCCTTCTAGTGGGTCTGATTAGTTCCCTCGCAGTGTAGCCTTCTTGTGGATACTAATTGGTTTCCCTCGCAGTGTAGCCTTCTTCGCAATGTAGCTTTCTTATGGGTCCTAATTAGCTCCCTCACAGTGTAGTCTTCTTGTGGGTACTAATTGGTTTCCCTCGCAGTGTAGCCTTCTTCGCAATGTAGCTTTCTTATGGGTCCTAATTAGCTCCCTCACAGTGTAGCCTTCTTGTGGGTACTAATTGGTTTCCCTCGCAGTGTAGCCTTCTTCGCAATGTAGCTTTCTTATGGGTCCTCATTAGCTCCCCCGCAGTGTAGCCAACTTGTGGGTGCTGATTGGTTTCCCTCGCAATGTAGCTTTCTTCGCAGTGTATCCTTCTTATGGGTCCTGATTAGCTCCCTTGCAGTGTAGCCTACCTGTGGGTACTAATTGGTTTCCCTCGTAGTTTAGCCTTCTTCGCAGTGTAGCCTTCTTATGGGTCCTGATTAGCTCCCTTGCAGTGCAGTCTAATGTGGGTGCTAATTGGTTTCCCTCGCAATGTAGCTTTCTTCGCGGTGTAACCTTCTTCGCAGTGTAGCCTTCTTGTGTTTGAGGATATGCAGAGTTTTTTAAAAACCTTAATCATAGGTGACATGGAGTTGTATGTTTGTTAGGAGATGTTAAAGCAACCAATTGATAAATTCTAGACGAAATTCAGATAGGTCTAGAACTTGAACTTGCAAAGTTTGTATGTGATGTCAAATGTTTATGATTATATGATCTGATGCAATATCATGATGAGATATGTTGATGAAAATGTTCTTTCACTTTAAGTGAACTTTGGCAATTATTGATGTTTACTTTGGCTATGAATTTCTTGAGATTTGCTACCGAATGCATGATGTCATATGATTAGTTTGAAGTGCATTCGGAAATTATGCCATATGATGTATGTGAAGTGCATTTGAAAAAGGTTGTATGATGAGTCATATGATGATGTCTTGAAGGGTATGCAAAGGAAAGAGCATAATGCATAATCATGGTGTTGATGTTTTTTATGGATTCTCTTAATTCGATCATCCACAAGGAAAATATGTCATTCCCTTTCAGTAAACTTGATCCTTGGTTGTGCTCGCAATGGAGTAGCATACTGCCGGCATGGGTACTTTCTTTCGTTGGCGTGTGTCACTATCTCGAGGTACTGGGCTTGCCATCTAGTTTATCCTCTTTTATATACTCAGTGAGCACAAGGTATGTCATTTCTGGGACTTGGTGAAAGGTTGGTCCTCTGCTTTCTCCACCTTGGACACTAGCGCTTGAGTGGCTGATGTGTTAGCCATATGATTTTCTTATTCATGATTGTGCTTGGTAGGTTGATTTTGTGGGAGGCTTTTGTAGCAAGGTGGCCTCAGGATAATGTGCTTTTTTAGTTTGTTTGATATTCTTGTTATGCGAGTATGTCATGCTTGGCTAAGAGGAATTTGTCATCTCTGGATATTGTCTTGTTGATGGCGGTTTCTAGACATGTTTGATTGACTTTGCCGGAAGGTGTGAGGTAAAAAATATTTAGTTGGAGGATAGTTTGATTGACAGGTTGGATAGCTTGAACATAAATGTTTCAAGATCTCTGAGATTTCCTGTTTACTCAAAGATTTGAGGGGTTTGGAGAACCATTTTTTTGGGTGGCACCAATTTGCCTGCGTAGATATGTTACTTGTTTTCCTCTTTTTGGAACAAAATGTGACCTTTACCAATCTTGACTTAAGATGAATGCATCAATGTTTGAAAAATCTCATTTTGAAAAAGCAATAATGGGACCCTGATTTTAGAAATCAAAACCTCGCTGAAGTGTGTGCAATATGAGAAAAATGATTTCTTGTGTTGTTATTTCCTTTGTTTAAAAATTTGTTTTTATTAGAAGTCAAGCCATGAGAATATCTTTAAGCCCTCACTTTTACTCTCACTCTCATGCTCAGATTCACTCTCATTTATTTCTATGGGTGCTTCGAGTTTACGATACTTCGGCTACTATTAAGATTCTAGTCACCACGTTGATGCAAAAAATGTGCTCGAGGTATAGGTTTGTTGATCATGTAGAGTTCGAGCAATCTTTGTACGTTCTCGTGGTAAAAGTTCCTGAACTTTCCTGAAAAAGCTTGGTTTGGTATGACTCCAACTGTAAGAGTTCTCATGGTATGGAAATTATGCTTGTCGCAAATGAGAGGTTGGTAAAGGAAGATCCTATGATATGGCCTTAGTCATAGGCAGCTTCATTTTGAGGGTTTTCGGCTTGCCCCCAAGGTATGAATCTGATTGATAGATAATGGGGATCGTCTTTTCTTGTCGCGTGAAGTTCCTTGTGGAGGGACGTTTGGCTTTCCCCAAAGTATTAGACTGATTGATGGATAAGCGAGATAATTTCTTCGCGAAAAGTCCATTGTTGAGGAATTTTTGGCTTGCCCCCAAAGTATGAGACTGATTGATGGGTAAATGAAATCTTTGTTGTGGAGCTCTCATTTTTTCGAGAATGGTGGCTCGCCTTGGGTATCTTTGCGGGTATATTTTGGCTTAGGTTGCCCCCTTGTCTTGAAAATTTGATTTAGAGGGATAAGCACGACTAGGTAATTTGAGTAGAAATTTGATCCTGGAAATCTTGTCACTTGTCGGGTCCTTTTTTTTTTACCTTGAAAGGATGGATGATGAAGGTCTTGGTATGATACAAGCTTTGACTTCTCATTGGTTATCAAAATAATGAATGTGGGAAAACCCTTCTGTGGTGCAGGCATGGCTGCTGAAGTATTATTATAATGGTGGTTTTTGTTTTTCTTGAAAGGGAGAGTTCAAGTGATGGAAAATGAGGATGATCATGGAGTGGATTTTAGATCAGGCAGAAATTCTTCTCTTTGGTGCCCCATCCTATTCGAGTTTACTTGTGTCATTTCTTCAGGCTTGGCAGACGAATACTCTTCATTTGGATAGGTGTTTAATTTGATGACTAGCCCCCGCAGGGGTGTGTAGATAGGTTGGTTGTGAGAATGACTCTACATTGCTCTTGTGACCACTTTGACGACAGACTCGAAATCATCCTTTTGGCCTTTTAGAAAGGTAGTCAATAACCTTTATTCGTGACTTGCTTGAGAATTATGACTTCAAGTGCTCATGCATGGGTATCCAAAGTGTAAGTCCCACGAGCTTTTTCTATTTTGATTTTTTTTCATGCCTTTTTGGCTTCTTCTTTTTTTTTTTTGTGGGATTTACTTGGCTTTGCTATGCCCCCCATACATATTGCTATTTTGGCGCTTTTGATTTTTGTATACGAGCATGAAGTTGTTAGGAGAGTTGTCAATACATCAATCTTTGGAGTGGTCCTCCTTGTTGGCTAGGCCACTTGGTCATTCCTTTCTTGAAGAAGCGAGATATTTGGTGCTGGCACGTATTGTTCGAATGCTTTTTCTGCTTGGATAGCCCACAATTCGGACTTAGGGATGTAGGCATTTGGACAATGGAGCTTTTTGTCTCATTAAAACCTCAACTGATGATGTGAGTTTGTCAAATTGGATCATTCAACCTCTTCAATCTTCTGGCCGTTAGGGCTTTGTGGGAATTTGGCTATTATGATGTCGGCATATCGGTGGTTATGGACCATGATTTGGATAATCAACCTCCTTTCTAGTCGAGCCTTAATTTTATAGATGATATCGGTTATGGTAGTGACAAGCTTCTATAAGCAGTCTAGTTTCGTATCCCCGTTACACCCTTTGACTATTTAGCTCGCATTATTTATGGACACCAGTGGGGTGTTTACACTCTCAACACCATTGGGATGCTCAAACTCTCGATATCAGTAAGGTGTGCACAGTCTGTTTATTAGTGGGGTGCAAAAGTTTTGACACTCATGAAGTGTTTATAATCACTCGACACCAGTGGGGTGTATATATTTTCTTAATATGAAAATCTCATGGCTTAACTTGGAAACATGAAATGCAATTTTAAGGTTCCCATTTTTAGAGGAGCAAAGTTAATTAAAAAAAAAATATTTGGAAGAGATGCAATCATTTTGAAAAGAGAATCATTGATGCAAAACCTAAAATCAAGATTGATAATATCCACAAAATGTTCCAAATATGTGAAAATGCGGGCGATCTTTTATTCCTCATTATAAAAATAAAGGTTGATACATCGAGTCAACATAGTAAAGTATCTCGAGATTTATTTGCTATCACTCTTGGAATCGAGCTTTGTCTTGTGGTATGTCTACTGACCCCCATGAGGCGATTTGTTGTTGTCGGTATGATCTTGATCTTCTCCAAATTTCAACCAACCGGCATTCACCATTTGTTGCACTTTTATCTTTAATCTCCTACAATCCTCCGTTGAGTGTCCTGCTACTCCAGAGTGGTAGTCACAATGTTGCTCTGGCTTATACCAAATTGGGTAGGGAGGTTGTA